GGGCTATCAAGTTCGCGACCGAAGGAGCCCCATGACGATGGCCTCGAGTGCGCCCGTGGTCCAATCGCTATGGACCGCCGAGGTGGGTTGCCCGGGTGTGCACCAACGTGTAGATGGGATGGCACGGAGAGTCCCGAGAGTCCCCCGTAGCACGCCATCTGAGAACGAAGCACATAGAGGGCACTCTCGCCCGCGAAGCCCTCCCCAGGAGGCGGGTACTCCAGCATCCTTTTTAAGAGTAATGCGTTGATTGTGCAACACCCAAATTCAAATTCTATACACAAAGGAAAAACTAAACGCCTCTCAGTAGATTTTTCTTCTTGCCTCAAAGCGCATGAGAGTCATTTTGACTCGACATCTGATCGTATTGAAGTATCATTTTTCTGTTTTTTTGGCCAAACCAACGTCATATTAACGATTTAAAATCTTTAATGGCATTTTAACAATTCAGAGGGTCCACCCAATCGAGATGGACTTGGGTATTCCGTAAAACAATGTAAGCCTATCGCGGTTTTCGGTGCGATTCACTTTTGGTCCAGTGATGTTAGCGAGATATACCGATGAGGCTATATAAGTTAAGATACCACTAGATAAAAAAGTCGCCACGTATTAATCAACCCAATCCCCCTCTCCCCCTCCCTGCAACCAGTCGCTCTTCGTTAGGTCCCAACCACAGCGGCTGATTTGGGGGCGCAACCTCACTAGCCAGTCTCGTCATTCATCTGGCGTAGCTAGTGATACACTGAACGGCCTCTCCCCTCCTTCTCCAGCATCTGTATTCCCTACTGGAGTTGTCGTTCTTGTTGCATCTGACCACTCCAAACATCCGCGTCTCCTAGTTGTATACTACGGCTCATCCCTGTCAATGGCTGGCGCTTCGTGGAATGCTAAAGCAAGATGAAGACCATGATCAAAATCAACGTCAGCTTTGGCGAGGGACAAAGGTAATTCGAACTCTTGCAACCTTGGTTCTAGATCCAAAGCCATATGTTCTGATTAGCATTTGCAACTTTGGTTGGTGAATTTTATCTTCATGGTTTTTCTCTTTTTTTTCTTCGATGCAAGACAGTAGGTAAGGTTGGCATCTGGTGGCAAAAGTGTCTATGTTCATGCTTAGCCCAAAAGGAAAAGAAGAGAAAACAAAAGGAGAAAGAAACGCAAAATGCTGAGCTGGTAGAGATAGTATTTGCATCACCAGCGTCATAAATGAGTACCGGAAGTGACAAGGAAACCCCAGGTGTTCTCCAAACCGAACGGCGCCGCATCAACAACCTATCGCCGCCGTCCGATTCAGATCGCGCGGCTGGTCGCCAGCGTGACACCTCTCCCCGTCCACGAGGTCCAGGCGGAAGAAAAAGGAGAGATTTTTCCTCCTCCTGGTTATTCACATCGTCTGGTTATTCACAATCATCACATTGAGCAGAGGGGAGAAAATTGCGAGGAGGGGAGGAGGATTCCGAATCGCAGTTGCAACCCAGTAATCCACTCCACCACCGCACGGATTCGATCGCCGCCGCCGCCGCCATCGCCTCCCCCCACCGCTGTAGGAACCCTCACGGCCGGCGCCGCTACCCTCCCCCTTCCCTTCGACTAGGGTCTCCTTTCGTCCCGCACTGCGAGCTGCTAGGGTTCCCCTCGCCCTTGCCCTCGCCCTCGCCGGTTAGGGTTCCCCCGTTGGCCCCCTCCTCTTCAACGGGGTGCGGGCGGACGCTGGGGAAGAAGGGCGCCTAGGGCCTCGCCGCCCAATGGCTCCCGCCGCAAAGCGGGGCGCCAAGGGCACCAAATGGAACAGAGACCCGCAGCTCGGGGACCTCGTCCTCGCCAAGGTCAAGGGCTACCCTTTCTGGCCAGCCAAGGTCCAGCCTACACTCCTGCCTGCTACCTAGGGTTTTCTTCCCCCATAGCGAGCCAGTTCCCTCCCTTTCTGCATCTTTCTTGGCCACATCTCTGCCTGCCTGAATCTTGATATGTCTAGGATACTGACCGTGTGCTTCAGCCTTGGAGGTTAATGCTTCTTATCTATGCAGGTGAGCAGGCCGGAGGATTGGAATCAGGAGCCCACTCCGCGCAAGTTCTTTGTCCTCTTCTTTGGCACCAAAGAGATGTAAGACCATCCTCATGCTCATTAGTTACTAGCTCCTTTTGTCGCCATGTTTAACGGTATTCTAACGGCCAATTCTACCCTGGATGATTTATCGGATAAGAGATTTAAGACCGTCCTCGTGCTCATTAGTTACTAGCTCCTTTTGTCGCCATGTTTAATGGTATTCTAACTGCCAATTCCACCATGGATGATTTATTGTATAACAGATGTAAGGCCGTCCTCGTGCTCATTAGTTACTAGCTCCGTTTGTCGCCATGTTTAACGGTATTCTAACTGCCAATTCTACTGCGGATGATTGATCGGATACATGAATGCCACATGTCGCCACGCTCTTGATGAATGCGCCACTTCATACTTGCCTTTTTGTGTTTGTATTCTTTACATTTATCACACAGCCAAGATCATGTGCAGGAGACACCAACACTCTTTTGTAGTTATTCATACCCAATTTATTGCCTCAAATTCCGCTAAGTTCATCCGTTAAGGTATGCCACGTGTGGGTAAGTAGTTTACGTATTTTTTGCTTTGGGAACATGGCTACTCTGTCTCCTATAGTGACAACATATTTCTTATTGTTGGCAAGATGGATTTTACACGTGTACTAGGGAAAAAAATAGGACAGAGCGATCATTTGATTCTGATTTAAATAAATGCTTGTACTGCATAGTTTGCAGTTTTTAATTCTGCCTATTTTATTTTATCTGAGCTTTACTTAATCTGACTTTCGGCTTGGCTGGGTAGATTAGTATATACTAGATGATGCCCCGGGCGTTACTGCAGGAACCTTGCTAAAAGAAATGCATAAATAGTCGCTGCAAAATCATCTCTTTTATTTTACCTGAGCTTTACTTAATCTGATTTTCGGCTTGGGTCGGTAGATTGCTATATACTATATGATGCCCCGCACGTTGCTGCGGGAATCTTGCTAAAAGAAATGCATAAATAGTCGCTGCAAAATCATCTAAAACTAATGGAAGCAAATTAAGTTATTAAACAATAAAAACACGAAACATATAAAAAATAAAAATAAATTACAGTTAAAAGACTGTCGTTTCTAACAAAATGGGAAGGGTGAACTACATAGGTATGCTGCAATTTCCCAAAACATATATTGTCGACATAAAATCTAATGCAAAAAATTAACTTATGACTAACATGCATGAGTTTATCTGACAGCGCTGCATGTATGGAGTAATGCAAAAAACTGTAATTATGACTTGCATGCATGACTAGCTTATGTGGCATGGTTCCATATCTTGGAAAAATAGGTAGTGGGTTGTAGCTATTTAGGAATAGTATAGAAGATGACTTGCATGCATGACTTGCTTATGTGGCATGGTTGCATGGCTAGAAAAAATAGGTAGTGGGTTGTACTTATTTAGGAATAGAAGATTCCTATATCTATACTAAAAAATCCCTTTGGTGTAAAAGTTTAAGTCTTGTGATTATTGTTTCCACCAATGATCTAAGGTTACACATTGCTGTGCAAGGTCAGTCTAGGAGGTACAATTCTTCACAGACTGAGTCTGAAAGATGAAAGCAGTACTTCCACTCTTAGTTGATTTATTATGAACTTCTCACTCTTTATTTCTAGTTTTCAATTATTGATAAGTACTCTTAACCGCTCCTACAGCCTTTCATTTTCTTCCAAATAGTAAGAATGAGAATGTTATTAATTCTATTGTAACTTGAGCCTGTGCAGCAAACTGATCTACATATTGTTAAGTATGTTATTCTCCATAAATTGTGGTAGGTAATGATCTTTAGACCTCTTAAATTACTTTGGTGCTAATAGAGCAATTAAATTACTCCACTTGATTGATTCAGTCGGTTGCTTTAGCTTATAAGGTATTCTCTACGCGGAGCATTTCTTTAATTGCTTTAAAACCGTGTCACCATTTTGTCTAGATACAATATTGATTTGTTACCCTTGCTGTCTTCCATGCCTGCGTTTTCTTTGCTATTTTGAGCTTATCGCGACAACTCTTTAAAGGCTAAAGTAAAAGAATTACTTGATTACTAATGAATGAATATCTCCGACAGTGCTTTCGTAGGTTTGCCAGATCTCCAGCCATTTACAGAACAGGTGAAGAATGACTTGGTAAATCAAGCTCGAGAGAAAAGATTTCCGAAAAGACATGCGAAAGGTCTTGAAGAAGCCTTGGTGGAGATATGCAAGGCCTATGACGAGCTGCCAAAATCATCTGAAACTGCCAATGATGTGTTGCCTGATCAAACTCTTGATATGAGTGAGAAACCTACAGAATCCCTTGTAAAGCCACCTGATGATGGTGAGACTCCAAGAGTGGAACAAATGGAAGTTGATAGTTCTGTGGACAACTTGAATACTTTAAGGCACGGTTCAGGAACCGAGGAGAATGTGAAAGATGGTGGTCATGACAGAAAGGACATTGTTCCAGCAGTTATTAATAGGAAAAAACCTGCAGAAAAGGATTCTGACCATCCCAAGAAAAAGAAGCCTGTGACATCGAAGTCAGCTACCAACATGCACCTTGAACAAATGGAAGTTGATAGTTCTGTGGGCAACTTGAATAATTTAAGGCACGGTTCAGGAACTGAGGAGAACGTGAAAGATGGTGGTCATGACAGAAAGGATACTTTTCCAACAGTTACTAATAGGAAAAAATCTGTAGAAAAGAATTCTGACCATCCCAAGAAAAAGAAGCCTGTCACATCGAAGTCAGCTATCAACATGCACCTTGAACAAGCACGCTCACCAACCTCTCTGTTCTCAGGAAGAGAGACTGAAGGCCAAAAAGTTGGGAAAGAGGGCCGTCCAACTGAAGGTATCCTTTTGGACCCTAATGTAGAGATAGTTTGTGCCCTTGAAGTGCCAAAGAAAGATAAATCCAAGATGCAGTTGAAGACTGCTGACAGGGAGGAAAACAAGCATGTCGATGGCACTGGTATTTCTGGGAGGACTACTCCTGAGGCTCTACCTGGTACTGTACCAGCCAATAGTGCTGACAAAGAGAGCGGAGGATTTAGAAAGCTGAAACCGATGATGAAACAATCACTTATGGACAAATCAGAGAGAAGGTGCCCTAACAAAGTAATGGTTGACAAGCCTAACAAGCAGTTGACTGTAAAATCACCTGTTGTCTTGTCTTCCAATAAGAAATCTCTGCCTGGTAGTGGTCAGCGCAAGCCGGAGGGTAGCACTGATATGCGTCCGGCAAAGAGGCCAAAACTAGTAGACAGAGCCAATGAAACAGTTAAGACAGGGGCAAAGAGTGAACTTAGGTTACCTGTTGATAATGGAAAGGATAATTCTGTGAAAAATGAGAAATCCACTTCCGTTGGAGCCAGAAACAACACATTTCCCGAGACTGTAACCGCTGATGGTAGGACAAGGAAATCAGGTGTAGTTGTATCACCCCTACCAAGGCCGCATTCTGAGCGAATGGAACAGGCACCTGGTTCTGCAACCAAGTTAATTGGTTTTGATACTGCTAAGAAGGGCTCCAGCATGAGGGAGGATGGCTCACGTGTTGGTAGGCCATTGGCACAACCCAGGAGAAGAGCATGTCGTTTCGATGATGATGAGGAGGAAGAACAACGAACCCCACCTCATAAAACTGTGGCCAAATCAATCTCCACTCATGTAACCCCAACAGACAAGATCCATCAGACAGGTATTCGGGGGATTCCTTCATCACAAGTTGGCAATGTTTCTGCAAAAAAATCTGGTTTGGCAAGAGAAGAGAAACCCAGAAGTGTTGGAAGGTCACCTGTGAAGCACGAGCCAATTTATTCACCAAGTCAAGGTAAAGTGCACGCTAGACCACAAATGACTGGGCGAAAATCGGCCACTATCTCAGTTGACACTTCTTCTGCTTTGGGTAACAAGATTAACCCGGCAGACCGCAAATCCTCGGACCAATTAAAAAATCCAGGATCATCTGAAGTGAAGAAACCGCAAGGTAGTTCTTCTAAAGTAGTGCAGCAGACATCTGGGAACTCTCACTCTCAAAGCCATGCTACCTTAGAAAAGAATGTACTTCTGTCTAAATCAGAAAATGCCAAGGTTAAAGCTAAGCCCAGCACACAGATAGCTATGACTGCCGAGAATAGGTTAAGTGCCACTTTGTCAGATGAACGAAGCGGGAAGCTGGATCACTCTAAAGAGGACAGGTATACTGCTTTGAATTTGCTAAGTTTCTTTCTTATGTTTTTTTTTGTCTACGTTTATACATGTTTAGCTATGCACTTTGTTGATGTTGCAATTTCCTCTTATGCAGATCAAATTTTGTTGATAAAGCAGATTTCGCTGAGTCTAATGCTGACTCTGACAAGTCAATTAAGCGTCTTATTGCAGCTGCCCAAGCAAAGAGAAACCATCTTGCGTCTGGTCAAGGAAATTCTGATGGCTCTTCTGCAGATAATGCTGTTCTTGCTTCCGCAGCGTATGGCTTGCCTGGACTAAGTCCTAGTCCTGTTTTTCACATTCCTTCTGCATCAAGAAATGCTATTTCAGAGGGTGACATCATGCAATCTCAAGATTCCATCTGTGAACCTGGTCACCGAGTTGATCTGAAAAAGCCAGCAGAAACTGACCATGAACATGAAAAGAGTCCGAAACCTAAGCAATCCAGCAGTTCACTGGGTGGTGGTACTGATGCAGCAATTGCACGTGATGCCCTGGAGGGAATGATAGAGACTCTGTCGAGGACAAAGGATAGTATAGGTCGTGCTACACGTCATGCAATCGAGTGCTTGAAACATGGCATTGCTGAAGAGGTACCCCCTGCACACCCACACCCACACATGCATTCATAGACACACACATTTTTCAATCATGTACATTCATTAATCCACATGCCATCAGCATTGCCTTTTCATCACAAGCAAAGTACCCTTATTAATTAATTCATTATATGTCATCAGATTGTTGCGCTTCTCATAAGGAAAATCGAGAATGAGCCTAATTTGCATCGCAAGGTTGATCTCCTTTTTCTTTTGGACTCCATAACACAGTGTTCTCACTCTCAGAAAGGTAAGTTCTCTTTGTATTATGTTGCACCAATTCACAGAACTATACGTTTCCTTAAGCCCAAGATTTAATTACCTGATTTCTGAATGCTTAGGCGTTGCTGGGGCTTCATATGTTCCCACTGTTCAAGCTGCATTACCTCGTCTTTTGAGTGCTGCTGCTCCACCTGTAGCTGGTGCTCGTGAAAACCGACGCCAGTGCCTAAAAGTACCAACTTTAATACTAATTATCGAGTTGTTATTTCCACAGACAATTTTCATTTCTGTCCATTTGCTTTGTAGGTTTTAAGATTGTGGCTAGAGAGAAAGATTATGCCAGAAAATGTACTGCGAAAATACATGAATGACATAGAGGTGCCAAATGATAACACACACGCTGGTTTCATGCTCAGGCGACCGTCCCGAGCTGAACGTTCTGTTGATGACCCTATTAGGGAGATGGATGACATGCTTGTTGATGAATATGGCAGGTATTTTGTGATCTGATAACTGATATACTCCCTTTGTCCTTTTTTGTTTGATGTTTTAGAATCCTTACAAGCTACAATTAAACCTGACCACCAGGCCACCATTATATGGTTAAAACTCTCAAGGGAAGGTACAGAACTATGTACTAGCTTTGTCATCCGAAGTTATTGTTCTATTAATTTAATATATAATACTAATAGGAATAGGAAGTTACATAAAGGCAATGGTCAAAGCCACATTTGGTTTTGGATACACAAGTCATCAAAACATAAAATAGAAAAAGAACGGTGTACTAGCTTTGTAACACGGTATAACTTCCGTTTAATAAAACTCAGTATAACTGGTTTTATTTTGTGGCTGAAAGTCATAAGTTTGTATGATGGGTTTCTTAACAAATATTTTAAATCTATAATGAGTACCACTTAATGAACCACTTCAGAGCATCTCCAGAAGACTACATCCAATATAGGGCGAGCCGGCGAGCGAGTCCTTATATAATGCGAGATCACTGTTTGTGCTCTTCCACCAGCGGCCTACCAATACCTCCACCTTATTTTCTTGTCTACGTAGATAATGGCAAGTGGAACCCACCCATCATTGGGTCATAGTTTTTCCTTTATTTTTCACCCGCAGTGCCCGGGAGCTCACGATGGTTGAGCTTGGAGGTGGGTGGCGGATGGCAGATGGCAGTGGCGGGTGACTGAGGCAGGTGGTGCAGCAGAGGTGACTGAGTGGCAGTGCGGGCGGCCGTGGCTCCGCTTGGGGAGGCGGGCGGTGGTGCAGTTGACATGATGTTATGGGCTTTGAGTTCTGTGCAACAGCCGTGTTGCAAGACCACAAGCCACAGTGGCAGTGGTGTGGGCTTGACAAGTGTGCATGCTCGCGGCCTTGTATGGGCATACGGGGAGGTATAGGATAGGTTATGTTAGAGGAAGTAAGAGTCGAGCAAATCAAGTTATATCCGTGTTGGGCGTGGCTGGGTCTTTTAAGTTTAGGAAGATATAGTTATGGTTTGGTCAAGAGTCTAGTTGTGATCTGGCTTGTGAATCAAGTCGCTTGCCTAGATAAAGGATATGTGTATTAATTACTGAACGAAGACTCAACAGGTCAACTAAGCTTCAGAGTATCACTACCATGATGGTGATTAGGCCCTGTGATGGTTAGATGAGGTGAATACCCTACCCCTGGTCTTTGGACCCTTATCCCTATCAAGATCCATGACACATGAATCAGTTTCACTGATACTTTTCATCTTATAAGAAAGCCAGTAAACTCAGCAGTCTCTGTGTCGGATAGACAGATACATGTTCTGCTCAAGACATAAATCAATGAACTATGTTTTATAGTTATTACCTTGTTGCTGTTCTCTAAAATCATGTATGACCATATCTGTATCGTACTTGTAGTATTCTATGAGAATGTCAGTGCCACATGCTTTGACCATAGTAAGGCCCTTAGGTACTCTAGGGACCTTCATCTTGTTTCGATAATCCAAGTGCGTCAGCTGATTTTATGTTCACCTACCTCTGCTGGAACCTATTAAATTGAGTTCCTTGAGATTTTAGTGGCCGTATGTGTGGTATCATCTTAATTCAACTCATTGCTGACATATGTTATGTGTTCTTTTTTGTGTTTTGTGCAGTAATACAACCATTGAGTTCTCTGGAATATTATCATCAAATGTCTTTGTAAATGATGAGGATTTCCGTCGGATTGATGGGTCATTGCCAGTTATTTCACTGCGAGTTGGAGGGGGTGGGATACAAGAAAGTGAAGAGATTATTGCTCCAAACTCTGTTGAGGAACACATTACGGTACTAGAAAGTGCAACTAGTGATGCTGTAATGGAAGATGCTTCAGTTTTACCAAGGAACAGTCAACAGATAGAGGGATCTACCCTCATTGAGCATGATTCTAAGCAGGAAGCAGGTTCAGAGGAGGCATTGACTAATCAGTACGAGCTTCCCCCTCTACCTGAGGGTCCTCCACCTCTTCCACTGGATTCATTATCTCCCCAGCCTTTACCTGAGGGCCCTCCACCTCTTCCATTGGATTCACCGCCTCCCCCACCTCCTTTGCCCCCTTCACCACCACCTGCTACACCACCTCCGCCGCCACCACCACTTTCACCATCTTCGCCACCTCCACCGCCACCCCTGCCATCTGGACCACCTCCGCAGCCTGCTCCACCACCTCCTCATCCTTCAATCCCGCCACCTGTTCCGTCATCTCCATCATCACTGGGTTATCAGCATGCCATGCCAGAATATTTTAGGCCTCCCAATGTAATTGTTTTTTCAATGCGTACTTTATTTAGCAGGTCCTGTTGTGTTCTTCGTTTAATAATAAAGATTTTTGGATGCAGGGTAACCAACTAACAGGAAATTCATCAATTCAAGGTGTTGGAAATACGCCGAACTTTATGCCTGCTGTACCAGTGAATGCACAAGCTCCAGTTAATTATGCCCCATCATTGCCACCGGATTATGGAAGCAACAATATCTTTCTGCCACAGCAAGCTTCTAATGGTAATTATCAGTTTCAGCCTGGTGTATCTTTTCATCAAGGGGCTTTCAGTGCTTTCCCATCGGCACAAACACCACCAGTTCACCCCCACACTCATCACACACACATTAACCCCATGGGCCAACAATCTGTACCACCTCCATGCAATTCTTATGGTGTACAGCCCTTTCCAAATAGTCAAAGCCAGTATACATCGGAAGAACAGTGGCGAATGACATCTGGTAACTTCAGTCCAGATGACCAGCATAATACCTGGTTACCAGGTGGCAGATCACTATCTTGTTCAGACGGGTCATTCATGCAGGATGGTATGTTTGCCTGTAACCTGGTTTATGTATCTTATATTTGAGAAACTTGAGATGATAATGATTCACTTTTCTGATAGGGTATCCGAGGTCGAACATTGACAGATCTTCAATGAATCCAATGAGTCATCAACATGCTGTACTTAACCATTTGCCGTCTGGAGCACCACATCCAGGTTTTTGGCTTCTTAAAGTTCACATTGTCACTATTTTTTCCTTCTGATAGCTTGTGCATTCAAATGAATCTTAATGAAGCTTAGTAAGATCCATTGATAATAGATGCCATGTACCCCATTGTGCTGTGATACCTCCTTGTCGGCTAATCTTGTGAATTTCGTTAAATAATCAGTTCATGTATATACGCTATATCTTTCCTTTTTTTTAAATCCTTTTGTTTCTATTCTTGTTTTTTGACAGGCCATGTTGTTCCTCACATGCTGCCAGCCAAGCCTGATATTCATGCACTTAATTGCTGGAGGCCTTCTGGATGAACCTGTATAATTAACTCTGCGGTAATCTCCTCTCTGTTGATACTTTGTATCACTTTTCTATTTGTCTCTTTGTTATCTTCATTGATCTTTAGATTAGTTGTCTACGACACTTCCATCTATCTAGTACTGCAGTTGAGTTGACTTCTCAGTTCTTCACATACAGGTTTTGACATGGGAAATTGGAGACGTTGGGAGCCATTTTAAATGGGGATTCAACAAGAGGTGCTTATGTTAGCCTGTTCTGCGATGAGGATGCACTTTTGCCTGGGGAGTAATGATGAGATCTGATGTTAGTAATTGGAATGGACATTTTACATTGTAATTAGTCTTGACAGCAGCATCCAGCAGACTAATCTCTCTTAGTGTAAGCGCATGTTTTACATGAGACAAGTACTCTCCTGTTCATTTAGATGTTGCTTTTGGTGTGTTTCTTTGAGGAGTGCAAACTGCGGTTAATGTATTTTGCTCAGACGGTGTGTTAGACATAAGTATCAGTTCTTATAGTAAAATATTGGGAACTTATATATACAAGGGCATACTGATGGTATCTATGGCACTTTCTACAGTTTGCTGTACTTGGACTGTTGTGCCTACTGTGCAACACATATCAAGTTTCACGTAGACAAATCTAAGTCAAAACAGAAAAGCTAAAGTACTGTTCTTACTCTTGTTCTCTATGCACTGCGACTTTGCTCTTTAGATAAAATTATATATATCTCCTATCCAGTTATGTGTTAGCAGACAAGGCTAAAACTATGATGGGTTTATGTGGACATCATTTGGGTTTCCATAGATTGGTTGATATTGTATGCTGGTATTCATTTCCTGGAAATTACCTGGTGACCTATTGGGCGTTTGTGATAAATTTTAAGCCATTCAATTGTTATTTATAGTTCCATGGATGCATTGCATATAGTATAGTACAGATATGCCAAATTTGTCCACACCTTAGACCTCCTGCAGTGGGAGTATTATAGCTAGTATCATGCATGCCAAATAAGCATTTTTGGTGAGGTGGCATACAATTAAATGAAGAAAGAGAGGGTTGAGTATCATATCATGATACCATATCATAATAAATGCTATGCTACTATATGTCATGCATGGCAATAAATAAGGTCATCTAAGATAATCTATGATACAATGCATTGCGGAGGTAGTATCATATATGCATGATGCTAACTTCTAATACTACCCACTGCGGAAGGTCTTGTTATCACCAATATTAAATAAGCACCTTTCCATGCAATGCTTGTCTTTTTTCATTTTCTAGTATATATTTCCGACATATTGGCCCTTCAAATTCTGTGTGCATGTATGATATATACTGCATCATTGACATTTCAAATAGTGCATCTTGCTCTTGAAGAAATGGATGTGTGGTGCCCATAGGGACAGTAAATCTGTATTTGTTTCCCAAAAAGATGCACTAGTTATAACTCCTGTACAAAATTGGTCTTCCGTTATCCAGTCTAAGTAAACAGTGCAAATTCACAGCACAACTTGCATTGAGAGAAGTAGTTTAATGGAAATAAAATAGGCATACAAGGTACTCCCTCCGTCCCATAATATAAGAACATTTTTCAAGCTATTATGGGACTGAGGGAGTAGATTCTTAGTTTTGAAGTGGCAATATGTGTTCCTGGTGTTCTTATCTGATTCATAACCATGGAAAACTGATCTTTTAGAAGTATATAAATCAGTGAGAAACTGGGAATTATGAAACTTTAGAAATTCTGCTATGTATCTTCTGATTTTGTCCTGCTGGAGATTTTCTGTGATGAGCATTATTTATAAAATTTAGGAACTGTACTGTGTGTTTCATACTTCAGATCTGATTTTGTGCTGTTCTATTTTTCCATGATGTATATTGACTTTGTCATTGTATTTTTTATTCCCGCGAAGTTGGTAGCGGGTGCTGGGTACTAATTATCCCAGTGATACACAGATTTGTCTAAATTCTGTACACAGTTGCTCCTTCCAGTTTATATGTGCAAATTAAAAATAGATATTATTTTTCTTCATTTGTCAAATTATACATGTCAAGTCGCAGAAAGATTATTAAGCTGTGACAATATTTTATGTTTTGAGTGTTAATTTGTTGAATATAGTTCTGTAGTCTGTGGAGCGATTGATTTGAGTATGTTCTGACTGACTTGTTTCTGAGTGCTCCTTTGAACTTCTTTAACACTAGAATTGCTGCTTTCAGTTTTATGTATGCAAAAAGGAAATATACATCCTCTTTTTTAGGTCAAATTTGTTACATGTATCCATTGGAGATTAGTTGAAGCTTCAAGAGTATTTTGGTTTCGTATGCGTATGATTTCTGTAGTCTGGGGAACGAATGGTGTGAACATGTCCGGTGCTGTCTTATTCGTATCTAAGGCATTAATCCAAGGTCCTTTGTTTGGTCTCTTTTAATTCGGTGGCTGCACTAGTAGCTGATTTTAGGGTTACAGCAATTGACAATTCGTTTCTCAGCCTGAAATATAGTTTCATAATTGATCACTGGTTGACTAGAGTTAATTTAGCTTAAAATCTGGTTGGCTGCAAGGCTGCCAGCTGAACATTGCACACGCCTTTTACGTCTGGACTGCTTGTGGGTATGGGTGATTTTACATGTATGTGCTATATTGTCTGAAAAATTACCTTGTCTGACTAAAATTTCTGTTCATATGGCAGGTCTGGAAACTATACAAGTCGGCGGCGTGTGTTATGATGTGGTTGCGATGGCTGTTACCTGTTGGTGGAGTTGAGGGGAGCTCATGTGGTGAGTCGAGTGTTTTCTTTTTACCTGAGGGGATGGATGTTGAGTGCTTAGTTTGTAGAGAGGTAAGCCTCACTGAAGAATTGTACAAAAGAGATACTCAATGTACAGCTTTTTGGGCAAAACTTTTAAAAGGGAAGTTGATGTATATGTTGTTATGCGTAGGGGTAGTCCCTTGGCACAAGCTAGGGATGATAGATGTTGCTTCATTGTTTTGTTGGACAAAATGGAAGAAAGAAATGTTGTGATGATGAGTCCAAACCTGGGGTGCAAAGGGTGGCGTAGCTCAAGTTTTCCTGTGATGGTTCATCTTTCTGGAAAAGGGAGGCATGCACCGCACAGCAGGTTGTTATTAGTATCATCAGTAACTGTGCGGGGATGATGTTCTGTTGGACCGTAGCCGTGTCGATTCGGTTAGGGTATGAGAAATATATGTTGCCCTGGTGGTTATTGTAAGCAGGATGTGTGGAGGTGTATATTCAGTGAAGTGTTTGTTGTTGTTGAGATGGGGACAGTGACTGTAGAGCACTAGCTGCTGCATCTGCATCTTCATCTGGGTAGTTAAATAGCGAATGGAAGGGGCATTCAGATCAAGCCTAGGCTGAATAATCCATCTACATGCTGCGCTGTGAGCAGTACGTAGTAGAATTAGTGCTTTAATTTTTTGTGTGTGGATGAGAATTAGTGCTTTCCAAGGTAATCCTGTGTTGAATGCATGCTCTGTGTCAACCAAATCCCATTTAGGATTCGGGTGGGAAGGCCGCATTCATGCCAGGCAGATCAGGCAGGCGTGTTCTTGGCTGCTGCCGCAGATATCACAAAGCCGAACCATCCATCCCAATGATTAGGGACCCTTACCTATTTTGGGCAGATACCATTAACAAGCAAGGCAGTCGCACGCCTATACACATTTTGCTAAGAAAGTTTTCTATACGAAGAAATAGATAGAGTATACGATATTAATACGCATGCTTGTCTTGCAGAGGGAAGAAAAGAAGAGATTGCTTTTTCTTTCATAAAAAGGTTGAGTTCTCTATACCAGGAGGCAAGAGATAGAGTATGATATCAACAATCACACCTTTTCTTATCTTGCCGTTATAAGAAAACACATATAAAGTATGTTATCAATACGCATACCTTTTCTTTTATGTAGATAGATAGAGAAATAAAATGATTTAAAAATAGTATAGAAAAAAAAAGAAGAGAAGAGAAAATCAGCAGCAGCCCAGCACCGTAGCAACAGCAGCAGTCGGTCCGGTCAGGTCCGGTCCGGGTCCGGTTGGGTCCGGTATATTCCTTTGCGTTTCCTCTCACCTACCAGCTCCCCCCTCTCCCTCTCTCTCCCCGTCACCCACCCCCCCTCCCCATTCCCTCTCTCTCCCCACCTTCCCTTCCGATTGTATTTGACAGACGCCCACGCAGAGAGCGAGACGCACACAGAGAGACAGACAGACAGACAGACAGAGAGAGGGCTCCCAATTCCGCCCGCGGCCTCCGTCGATCGATCCACCCATCCGCCGAGAGTGGGATCGGAGCGGCAGCTCCGCCCTCCCCTGCCGCGGCGGCCACCGTGCGTGCTACTCCATCCCTCTCCCTCCCTCCCTCGCTTTCCCCTCCCACGCTCCGATTAATTTTCCGCCTGCTTCGGGGATTGCTCTGCTTCGCTTCGCTTTGCTACGGACGCTGCGTGCGCGTGCGCGGTGCGCGGCCGATCCTGCGGATTCCGGCGCCAGCTCTAAATCTCCACGTTAGGTTTTGCGCTTCGCAATCGATCCGCATCCCCCCCACACCTTCGATGAGTGCGATGGGTGCTGCGATCCGTATCTCGTTCCTTGTTAGGCACGCCGATTATTTTTTCTTCTTGATCTGCGAGGGCCGCCTGCTCCGCCAGCATTTCGGGCCCCGTCCTGGATCGCTTCGCTCCAGCTTCTTAATTCCCTCGTTATTGATTGGTTAGGGCTGCCATCTACGAATTTACTTTCCGTGCTTGCCTTCTCCTCTTCCGGCCGCACGGATTTAATGCTTGGTTGGTTGGTTGATTGATTGCTTCTCGTGATTCACGCGGAGTGCTGCTTTTGCTTGCCACATCGCTAACAGGCAGATGCTGGATTGGATTTGCTGCTGCCTAGTAGCTTTACTTTCTCAGCTTCACTTGGAAACTTCTTCTGTTTGTTTATTATTGTTTGTATCAACAAATCCATTATGCCTTCATCCTCTCGGAAGCATTTTTAAA